CCACATTGTGTATGTCAGAGTTTTGGGTTTGGTTCTACTTACGCTTTTGCTGAGTTTCAGTAGCAAAGCACAGATGCTGGCAGAGTTGCCCTTAGCTGAAAGGGAATTGCCAGGCTACCCTACTGTTCATGCCACGCTTCAACACACAGATGTACCTGGAGCAATGCCCTTCATCATTTTGGGGCTTGAAACGGCTGAGCATTGTTTATGTGAGCACTGAAGTTTCCACGCACTCTGCCATGGGCCACCTGAGCCTTAGCAACTTGAAGTGAGAAACTTCTAAGATGACAAAGGTTCTGCTACAGCACCAAGGAAGGCTTCATCAGCGAAGATAATCTAGACATAATGAAGTATAGACAAGTTGCAAAAGCCAGTGATCCATCATTTTTCCCTGTGCTTCTGCTACATATTTTTCTGTTTGCTCCTGTCTGCGTGTTCAGAACATCTACACGTCTTGTCTTTCACGTCCAAAATGAAAGCTGATTTTTCTGATGGTGACTCAGGCCCCTCATATAACAGATGGCAAAATGCAGGTGCAGGATTTTGTTTCAAGAATAAAATTGGAAAGTAATACAGCCAGTCATTTACAAAGAGGAGGTTAAATTCAGCCTGTGTTCAAAGTAACTTCTTCCTTGCCCTAAAATAAATGGGTAACCTGCCCCCCAATTCCACCAGCTATATCCTTTTCTTGATGGAAGAAGGCTCAGCTCCATTGTGGATGCCAAGAAAAAACCCAGGTTTTTTAAAGTCCAGCTTCTCCAAAATATGGGTGCATTTCCAGGATAAAGCCCTGCAACTCTTGAAAATTAGAGGACAGCATAAAACAATTTGCGTTTATTAACAGTAAATACAAAGACACATAATTGATTTAGGTTGGTCTGAAGAATTGTATGGAAAAGGAAGCTGGAGTGAGCCTGTGTGTTTCAGGATTCTTTGGTAAATAATTTCTGCTGTGGCTACCTAGCTGCTGTGAAAGGACTGTTAGCTATGTACTGGGTTATTTTTGCCTTGATGCTCTAGAATTCTGTAAGCACAATCCCATTTCATGAAAGGCCATTAAAGAGGAGCATTTGAGTTGGATAATACCTGTTCATTCGTGCAACAGGGAATGCAGCTGTATGCACAGGATTTTGATAATACAGCTAGAGACTTTTCTCTAAGGCTATGGCAACTGGCAGTTTGTCAGAAAGAAGGTGACTGAAAGCAGTGTTCATATAGATGCCATAAGTGTTTATAAATGTGAAGGAGGCATTTTTTTTTTGATGTTTACAAAGATGCCTAGAGCTTTTTACATAGAAGCACTGCTACAGATGTCTGGGGATGGGACTGTGAGGTGAGATTTGTACTCAGTTTCTACAGTTAAAACAGGACTGGCAAGAAAAGATAAAAAGTGAAAATTGTCCTTGTCATTTGTGATACACAGCTGTGCACATAAGGCCTAACTAGTACATGGTCCAAAGTATCCTGAGTAAGACATGGGCTGTGCTGCTTGCCTATGTAACAGTCCTTGCCATGCTTATAGAAGTGATTACATTAATAGTAAGAATGAATGATGAATAATTTCTCATAGGTAATAGGTAGTAGAATGGTCAGCTATTACAGTAACCTCAGCTGAAGCAGTACTTAAGCTTAGGGAAAAGCGATGCTATCAGTGAAAAGCAATTTGCATATTCAAGGTTGATGGTGTCAAGGAATATAGTTATCAACTTGATTTGCAGGTGCAAAGAGTGAGCACCACCTGCTGCTGGCAATATGTAACCGAAGGGTGAAAGGAGATATAAGTCAAACTGATGGTACAGTAAAAGCTGAATAACTGGTTGTCAAGTGCGTCTCCTAGGGGCCTTTTCTAGGTATCCCAATACCTTCCAGCACCTGCACAGTGTGCTTCTGGCTGTCATTTAGGTCTATTGTAATGATGATTTCCATAGACTTTTCAAACTATCTCTACTAGGAAAAAGCATACAAAGACATTATAAGTGGATTAAGGAGTCATCTTTCACACTGCTTGTTCTTTAAGCATTCTGCATTGCTAGTCTGTGGTGTGGTTTAACCCCAGCCAGCAGCTCAGGACCACCCATCTACTCACCCACTCCCCCACAGTGGGATGGGGTAGAAAGTCAGAAGGGTAAAAGTATGAAAACTCATGGGTTGAGATAAATGCAGTTTAATAGGTAAAGAAAAAGCCACACATGCAAGCAAAGCAAAACAAGGAATTCATTCACTGCTTCCCATCGGCAGGCGGGTGCTCAGCCAGCTCCAGGAAAGCAGGGGTCCATCTTGGGTAATGGTTACTTGGGAAAATAAATGCCATAACTCCAAACATTCCACCCCTTCCTTCATCTTCCCCGCAGCTTTATATGCTGAGCATGATGTCATACGGTGTGGAATATCCCTTTGGTCAGCTGGGAGTCCCAGCTGCATCACCTCCCAACTTCTTGTGCACCTCCAGCCTTCTCACCGGTGGGGTGGTGTAAGGAGCAGAAAAGGCCTTGACACTGTGTAGGCACTACTCAGCAACAGCGAAAACATCTTGGTATTATCAACACTGTTTCCAGCACAAATCCAAAACATAGCTCAAACAAGCTACTATGAAGAAAATTAACTCTATCCCAGCCAAAACCAGCACATTCTGTTTTAGACATTAAATCAGTGAGCAAACAGCAATGTTAACAGACCCTGGTATGAGGGAAGACTGGGACAGCCACAGAGAGTGTAAATTGATGCCAGCCAAAGGTCTTTTGCTACTTACTTGGGGTTTTATGGGTAAAATAATGGGTACAAGTGCCAATGGTGAGAAACCTGACCCATGTGCATGCTGGAAGGTGTTGAGGCACTGAGGAGTTAAGTGTTGGGTTACGTGATAAAAGCTCTTCTGCTTGCTCGCCCCCAAAGGAGGCAGAGAGACCATGATGATGGTGGCAGTGGTGGTGGGGAAGGACACTAGTATAATACCCTGCTCCAGCTGCACCCAGGCCCATCACAGGAGCCATCAGCCCTTCAAAGGCCCATCTGGACCAGCCCAGGGGAGCAAAGAGGCCTAAGGACAAGCAGGAACCCAAACTAGGGCCTCAGAGGAAGGGACTTGATGTCCAGGCCTTTCCCAGGGCTGCCCCAGGAAATCCTCAGCCCCATGGTTGAGGTGTGAAATCATCAAGATTAGTTAACAGCTCGGCTATGGGGCAGATATGAGTGTCTGTGCCCAGCTGCTGGAGAGACCCATATTATATGTACCTATATCTAGGTATCTATGTCCACAGACACATCTGTATGCATATATGTATCTTTGTAGCTACACATATCTTCATACTGTCCTATCCCCATCAGGCTACTGGATTTGACAACTTGCTCACAGTAAGTACTGAGTAGCTGGATGGCCCTGTTAGGATGAACTGTAAACACATGAATGAGATTCCAGATTAAAGAACAAGAGCTACTAATGGGGCTGCAGATGTGCTTGATCCTCTTGTAGGATAGTGTACCTAAATCAAGAGTTCAAGGCAACAAGAAATGAGGTTTGCGACAAGAATCCTAGGTGACTGGATGAGCTGGTGCTGCTGAGAAAAGCCGATTGACTCAGTGTTGGTTTGGCATTGTATCAAGCCTGTGCCTCATGAGCACTGAGGATTCACGAGACGATGTCTGAGCCTAACCCATCCCCATGACCCTGCTCAGCCATCCTGGGGCTGCACCCAAACCTGGTCACCCTCACAAGGCCTGATCCTGATGCTGACCTTAACCTGGGGACAGATTCCCACTTCTCTTGTGACCAGGAACGTGCCTGTTAATCTGCACTTGCGGTTGGACCGGGCCACAGTCTTCAGGTTCACCCTACTTGCCTTGCTCCAGCGTGGTGGGACTGGGCTCGTGCTGGCAATACCTCTGCACACCACAGCTCCATCACTGCTCATGGCTGCAGCTCAGTGCTTGGGAGGCACCTCCAGGCCAGACCTGGGTGGTCCTGGTCCCAGCAGCTGCCATCAAGTACAACATCTTCCAGGCCTCGGGAACTAAAGCGTGGCCTCAGCAGGGTTTCTTTTGCTTCACAAGATTGACTCTAGGTGCACAACTGCATGTTTAAAGGAACTGGCATCTATGCCAAGGAGACAGATATGCAGACCTGTGTTTCAGCTTTGTACGTGAACAGATTATGTCTGCACAGACCCTTTCAGCAAAGAGGCTGCCTCATGGAGGGACAGTCAGCCTTCTGCAAGAAAGTACCCTGAAGATCCCCATGTGTGGCTAGTTTTTCAACGGACATCATACTCTTTGATTCCTATTGATAGTGTGTCACCACTGAAAACCAGCGAGCAGTTCAGCATGCCCATTAAAATCACACCTCTCCCCTCCATTTTCAAGCATCCACTCAGTTGATTTCTCCCAGGACAAACCTGAAGACACTAAAGCTGTTGAGATGGTACCAGTGGCTGGCTGGCTGCAAGACTCGCAAATACCATTCTGCCCCTGTATAAACTGAAGAACATAGCATGAAAAATAGCTTGCTATAAAAAATTAAACCATATTATCTCTTACTGAAAAAAAGATCCCTAGTTTTAATATCATTGGAGGGCACCGAAGGCTACACGTAGGCATGTACTGATGCATTCAGGACTTCACAGAATGCACTTCTCATGTGGTCTTTACCTTTTTTTAGTAGCCAGCCCAGACCCCTTCAGCAGGGGGGCTGGATCAGATGACCTCCAGCAGTCCCTCCCAACCTCTCCCATTCTGTGGTTCTGCCATACAAAACAAACATACCAAAAAACCACGTAACAACTTTCTTGGCACTACTATGCACTCACCATAATTTTAAAGCTAAGGTGTATAAAGTGACAGCAATGTAAAGTGGTCTATTCTCCAGCTTGAACACTGGTAAAACTTTATCAGCAGAACTATTCACTGCATCAGGAATGAAGCAGTGGGCTCAAAGCACATCAAATAATGCCCTAAGCATTAAAATAACACCAGAAACATTAAAAACATAGAGAGCGAAAGGATTAAACAGAACAAAGGGAATGCTTTTGTTAAAACACAGAACGTGAGTGAGCAAAATAATGCACCTACCTTAACAAGAAACCTTTTGACAGTTCTGTCGAGCTCAAGAATCAAGATTAGTCAATCTGCTAGTCAGCAAAAAATAGACATGGTTCTTACTGTGAGTGCAAAACAAAAGAACTATGCATCAATAAACCAACAGGTAAGTGCAATGTGCTTGACATCCATTTAATAGACTTAGGAGTTACATTCAGACTGCAATGAACACGTTTTCACATCTGAACCATGGGATGGGAAACCATAGATGCACTATGTAAACAAAATGATTTCCAGAGCCTTTCCATAGCATTTTGTTCAAATCAGGTAATTTTTATTGAGAACATCACGGTACTCCTGTATTGCCCTGGAAAGGGGATCCTGATCAACATGGAAATTATTTGAAGAGCCATCAGCAGATACCATGGGAGAAGCTCCAGCAGATCCAGTTTCAAGTTCAGCAGTGGCTAGGGAGAAAAGAGACAAGATGCCTAGTGTTACTTTTGCAGTAGACAGGGCCAAATAAGTCACTGTAAAAACATGGGTAAATGGAGAGAAAGAGATTTTAAAACTTCCAAGGGAACATATCAATGAAAGGGCCTGGCACAAAGGAAGAGACGTTTTCCTTACGTTTGCTTCTCAGTCAACAGTATTGCTAAAGCTAGTGACAGAAGTTCCAGAGGCTACGCACTGAACATCTTCGGGGAAGCCACAAACGGCTCCTGCTTACACCAGAGCTAAATTTATCCCCCTGCAGACCTCTTCACCCTCAAGTATCTGTTTGCCTTAAACATTCAAACATGTGATTTATTGGAACCAGTGATGACTGGAACACTAATCCTCAAAACCAGCTTCTGCATTCGCTGTGACAACTGTTACAAGAATCTGCCTGTGAAACACCTTTGCACAGAAGTCAGGCCAGGACAAGTCTCCCAGCCTGGCACCTTCTCCGAGGGGCGTCTTTGTAACTCGCCCTGGCAAAACCCGCTCCTCCCCCAAGAGAACACATACCCAACGAAAGCAAACCCACCTTCGCCACCTTTCTCCAGCCACCTTTTTCAGGCAAGGTCCCCAAACCAAACATACTCTATGACTCCCAACACATGGGCAATTACGTTTCAGAATGCCCACGGGTGCAAGGCAATGGCTTTGTGTCCATTCAGACACACGGAAAGAGCTACGAAGCTACAGCTGAACACTCCCTATACGATTAAAAGCATACAGGAACAGAAAGGAAATGCTCTCAGGGGCTACCTGCTTTGAAATAGCACCAGCCACGGCAAAGTGGTGACTCTGGAGGAACGGGTGTCATGAAATAGGTGGAATTCCTCTTTGGACACCTGCCTCCTATTATAGAGCGTATTTGATATGCATATTCATCTCATGTTTGCCTAAACACTGCTGATATATGCTTTCTTCAGGAAAAGATCACTTTTGTCACTGATTATATTCATCTTGCTTATTCAAAAAGACTGCAACGTGTAAGCTACAAATAGAAGCAACGAATAAGAGACATAGCAAAAATCAAGAACTAACAGCAGAGAGTGTGTATGGTTCAGTGCTGAATGCAACCGATGTACATGGAAGGAGAAGTGACGGCTGAAGTCTACAGAAATCTTATCTCACGGCTTCTTTTATGTTTGATGTTTGTGCTTGAGGAGTAATTCTAGTGAAAGGTGACTTCACCTGAAGCTAGGTGTATTTGTGTGGGGGAAATGGGTTAATTTTCTTTGCAGTTGGTGTTTCTTCAGGCAACTGCATAACATTCTACACAGTATTTTGGTACGCAGGAGCTTTTCACATTCAAGTCTAAACTGGAAAGCCAGAAGAAAAACCCCTGTGCTTAGCACAGAAACAAATTCAAGACATTATTTTCAAGAGCTAGGAACAGTCATCTTTTTTCTTAAAAAACACTTCTCATAGTGGCACGTTACCCTGTTCAAGTTCTTTCGTGATTTTTTCATCCAGTTCCCGCCGTACCTAGAATTATACAGAAAACACACAGTTAATATTTTAAGTTACATTTTTGCAATATTAAACTTCTAAAACAGTCTTAAAACCTACACACAACATGATAAAAACTAAAAAAGTCTTCCCAAATAAAGATATCTTGGTTTGGGGGTTGATTTTTGATGAAGAGAAACTCTTGGGTCAGCCAGGCTGTAATATTCTCATTGCTGAGCAACATCAGCTGTAGCACAAAACGATCTGTAACTCACCAGCTAGATTATAAGTGGGCATTTAAAAAATACTCAGGAGAAAGCCCAGGGGAGTTATTACAGCAAAGGTATGGCTAAAGTCTGCCATCAAATACACGAGCAGAACGTCAGCTAAACGCTGAGATACACACAAATGCCATCCATAGGGACAAATTCAGTTGAGGATGGCTTCTGCAACTTCCTAAAAAAAGAGGTGCAACAGCAGCTGCCACAGGACTGACACATACCATTATATAGGAAAAAAGCATGTGCCAATATTCTTCTTTTCTCCACCATAAGATCATGCCAAGATTTTTCTCTATTGTTATCGCAAACACCATGACACACACATATAAAAATATAAAAACACACCCTGTTTTTCCTCACAAACTTTGTACTAAGACAGGTTAGCCACGGCTACAGCTTCTACACAGCCAGTGCTGTGGGTTTTATTATGTAACCGAGATCAGCTTGGATCCCTAGAAAAGAGCACTTAACTCCTTTCTTGCCTAGGGGGTGGTTATTGCTACCAATTAAGTTATTCTCACTCATGATTCTGACTTGAAAGTCTTCATAAGAAGAAATCAGATCCTTTGAAGAGTCATAGTCCAAGCACTATATGCTGCTGTTTACATTTGATGACATTTGTGACTCCTACATTTTTTCCATCAAGTCTGTGACACAGAGAAGTGAATTTCAAAATAGATGCCACACAGCTTCCAGGCCTATGATGGCCATGAAGATGCTGAAGGCCTTGGACCACGCGAGCTAGGTGGAGAGGCTGAGAGTGCTGCAACTGTCTCTTTACTGGAGTAGAAAAAGCTTGGGGGGACCTTATCTATGTGTATAAATACTTGGTGGGGGCAGTAAAGAAGATGAAGCTAGACTCTTCTCAGTGGTGCCAAGTAAAAGCACAAGAGGAATGGGCACAAATCAAAATAAAGGAAATTTCATCTTAACATAAGGATTAAAAAATCTTTTTAAAATCATTAAAAAATTTCATTAAAAATCATTAAAAAATTTCACTTTAACGTATGGAGAGAAAGGCCCTTTCCTGAGGACTACAGGAACAGCTGCAACCAAAATCACCAGCTCCTCCCAGGAGAACCACCACTCAGTGGTAAGACGTTGGAATAGTCTGTGCCTTCACAGCTAGAAGAGGGGAGCATGGAGCTGAAAGAATAACAAAGAAGGATGCTCCAAATCCCTAAATCTCTAATTGTTTTCAAGTTGGTACAAGAAGCAGCAAAATCCTGGGGAGAAGGGACCCCCTAACACATGGAATGAGACACCGGTAACATAAAAAAGTAGGAAAAGTAGTGCCTACACCAAAAGACCACCCAAACCCAGGATCAATCCTAGGCAAAGCAGCAGTAGCTGAGACGTTAGAAGCAGCCACCTTCTCTGGTTTCCAGAGCTTTCACAATGACCAGAAGGTCCACAGGACCCTCTGCAACATGTGTGGATGAATCAAGGGAAGAAAAAGATCTTGTTTTCCTCTTACTCATTCCATTAACATCTTCATGATTCTCATCCATGACTGAGGAAAGAGAAATAGGTGGATATAGAGCCAACACGCCGATTTCTGAACAGGCCATGAAGAGCCAGGCAAAATACACCTTTGAGGACAACAACTTGCCTCCACTGTTTTCCTTCCCCTCAATCCCCTGGAAAAGGCACCACAGCTGACTATCCCAAACCTCCCGAGCAGGTACTTCTCACTGAAGATCTCTTCAGGCAGTAAGATACTGGGCTCCCTTGCAGCAGTCACCTCAATAATTCTTTTGCAGAGAGTGGTGTTGACTTACCCACATGGGTTGCTTGAGCGCAGAGTAAGCTGGATCCTCTAAGGCTCCATGCAATGGTACTCAAGAGTCTAGGGGCTCAATTTCAGAACAGTACTGGTACTCCAGACACAATGGCTGTTACTACCAAGAACTTTTTGAATATCGGAACGGGCAAGGAGGGTAAACCAGCCTACTCCTGTAGTTTAAAGGAGTTCCATTAAAACAGATGAAATCCTTACACTGTCATCTTAGATGGTTAACTACTACTGAAGCCATAACATCACAAATACATAAAGCATGGAAGTACTCTGCAGCTGTCACTCTTTCACTTGGACAAGCTAACAAGTTCAAAATATTTGCAGTATCAGGAAAATTTGAATGCATCAGTAAGTTTCAATCAAAACCTAACAGTGTAAATAGAGAAAACATTTCCAGTATAAAATATCACGCAACATTAAACAATACCTGCTACAAACCTTGTCATGTATCTGGCTGCAGAGGAGAGAGAGAAGAACAGATTTTTGATTAAGGAGCTGAAGAATAAAGAAAAACGGCCTTAAGTTCAAAGGTCTTCAGTGAGAAATAAGAACATGTCCTATATGTAAATGAAGCAAGTAAAAAAAGCTAACAATAAAAAGAGTGCTGAAATACAAGAGTGCAGATGGAAAACAAAATCGGAAAGGGAGCAGAAATTCCCTTTCTCACGTTATCTAGGGAAACTGGTGTTACAAATCCACTAATCCACACTGGCTGCAGCTAGCAGAGTTCACTATTATTTTCTGTGTCAAGACACCCACGTTCATTTTCACCAGCCTTTGGCACAGCTGTTATGATCTGAACTTGACATTGGTTAAACCTAACAACAGGACTCCAGTCCCAGAATCCCCTTGCAGTGCTTTCAGCAGACATTCCTTGCCTTAGTCTATGGACTAAGGCAGCAGTTCCCAGATTACAGTACACAGACCACTAACACTACCTCGTATCTGTGTTACATCTGCTTGATTCAGTTCAGTTCTGGGTGGTGACATGCCAATTCATAAGCAGTTTGGGAGTCAGTAGACCACATGGTAAAAAGACAAAAAGACCCTGACAAAGATCTCTTTACTCCTGTGTAAAGGACAGGCAATACACACATACATCCTTCTTATGACACAGGTCCTACGACGAAACAAATTGCAGCCAACCTCCTTCCAGAACATAATGAACTGCTAGTCGCTACAGGCACTGTTTGTAATTAGAGGCACAGATTTTTTTCAAGTACTTCTAATTTATTCCTCATTACTGGAGCTCTAATAAAAATGGAAACAACCAAAAAACCCCAAAGACATTTGCATGTGATTAGGATTTTACTGGTTAATGAGCTTGTGTCTATATATCAATTTTTGGGGTATTTTTCAAGATACTTTTGCGCTTCCATTTCAAGGTTATTAATTTCTGTAGTATATATATTTGATAAGGGGGAAGGGGCTATTCTGTAATGGAACACAGTTCTCTACTTTTTTTTTTTTTAAGAATAAAACGCTCATTTTTTGCTGAGCTTGCAACATGACCATCTTCAAAATGTAAGGCTGTATGCATCATCACTGACATTCGCCTCTCATGTTAAGTAGGGGTTTAGGAAAAGTGTGAAATCTTTCAAGCCTCTAAATTCCAGATTCCTTAGTTAGATCTAAAAGAAGCAACTGTGTCCACTTGCCACTTCTTCCTCCTGTTTGTAATCAGCATCACTTACCAGTCCTTCTCCCACCACTTGCATGGAGAAAGAATCAATACCAGCATTTTGAATAACAGTAGTGTGAAGTATTTTCACTCCCTTGTCCTGAAGAGATTTCAAAGCTTTTGCACAAACCGAATTTACATAAACACCCTCCTCTTAAGAATGGCATGTCCTCTACTTCAAATAGCCTTTCTCACCTTGAGGAAGCTACTGTGAGAAACACCAAATCTGTACAGGGAGCTTTGACTAAAAAAAGAAGTGCAAGACGACTACCTGAGGCACACTGCAATTTAAGCTCCTTAACTCGCTCTCATTATGAGCTTTAGTGGCAGGAGCACTTGTAATCTCCAGCCAAGGCACAGCTCAGCTTGACTTTAAAGGCAAGACAAATTCTGTAGAAGGGAACTCAGTTACTGGAAAAAATCTGAGGCATAATTGAAGTGAACAGTGAAGTGAAGAAAAGGCTTAGAGACAGAGAAACTCTTCTGTCTTTAAAGAATCTGGTGAACAAGCAGAGTACTAAGCAGCACAGCTGGCAAAGTGCTTCAAAACAGACTAAAACTGTTATCTCTGAATTCTTTCCTCATGCTCCAACTTGGCTACTGAATGACACAGGACTCTTGCAGAAGTGACAGCACAGACTGTGAGTCTGGTAACTGATCGAGATTCACCACCCGTTACTGTATGCAGACGGATACATACAGTTTTTCCCTTTTCTTACTTCCTGATTTAAAGCCTTATTTTCCAATTCAATCCTCTGTTTAGATGCACATGTCAGGAATCCTGTACTTTCAGTTTCTCAGAGATACAGTACGGCTTCAAACACTTTAATGATATACTGCACCCCGCTGAGGAAACTTAAGCCAGCAGTTCTAAGTGAAGACGCATGTCCTCTAGCAACTACTGCACTTCTGAGAACCCTGTTTCTTCTTTCTGAAGGACTCCGATAGAGAAGATCAGGTCTTAAGACTTTCCCGAATACACTGAACATTGAGTGATTTGAGGCTATAGACAGTGCCATTACAATTAGCCTCTGTTGCTCCCTAACTGGTGATTACAGGAAGAAATATCACAAAAGGCTGTGCATCTGGATTTAGTAACAGGAGGGATAAATTCATACTGATAATTCTGAGTCCAAGAGACCATCCTTCTGCTTGAACTGAGGGAAAACAGGCATGCTGAGATGGCCAGCTTTTTCTTAAGAGAACCTTGTAGAAATGGAAGGAAATGGGTAACTTCTCTGAGGATTTAGCAACAGTTTTACTCACCTTCATTCAAGGAATGAACCTTTGAATTTAATACTCTACTAGAATTAGAAGCTAATCCTGAGAAGACAAACTGTGCTTAGTAAGAGGGAATTATCCTCAGCTCCTCTGGTAACAACAAACTAAGAGTCTCTGTAGGTTGTAAGCAAGATCAGACAGAACTTCAGGGGACTAAGTTCTACTAACAGAACTGCACTAGGAGGGAGAAATACAGGTATCTAAGAAAGCCCCCCAAACTAAAAAAGAAAACCCAATATCTGACATCAATACTTGGAGACTGGGGAAATGTCAACCATAATGGTTCTTCAATTCCTTTGAGAGTCTGCCCAAGGCTGGTGGGTATTTTTTGGTTGTTTCTTTAAACCCTCAAAATGAAGCCTCACAAAACAGTACCAAAACCTAAAAGCATTCCCCCGCATCGCAATCCATCACGAAATGTAAGACACACACTCTGAAAAGAAACTTTGAGTGCTGCTGAAGTTAGGACGCTGAGTGAGAACAGTATCACTGCTCTTGGATCTCATGCACGCTTTTCTTGGAATCAGCGCAGATGTTTTTCACGCGCAGATTTGGGAACCATTTTTCACAAAATGTTGAAGCAGCCTATATAATGATTTGAAATAGATATATCTCTGCATATATTAGCAACTGGATAAAAACAACAGGCTATGAAATAGCCTTTTAAAATATTTAATTTCTGTAACATACGTAAGGGAAGCTAGTAAACCAAGAAAGGTATCTTGATATTGACAAAATGTTGAGATGCCCAGAGAGTTCCAATTCTGGAAAATTAAAATGGAAAGGGCTACCTGAAGAATGTTGCTGTAAATCAGTTAAGAAGCACTGAGTACTCCCACTTTCTTTCCCTTAGCTGTGGGTTGCTTTTTTTTTTTTTTTTAACATTTCCTCTTCAAAAAAGGCACAACTGTTAACCCTTTTGTTTTAAACTCGGGCAGCTATTTTCCTAGAAGTGGGTTGGTTTCCTCCTTTGCCGCCTTCTTCTTACTCCCATCTCTCTGTTCTTTCTTTTCCTCACTTGTTGCCTGCTCCCTGCCCCTTCTGTGCCCTTGTCCCAGCCTTCTCTTTATTTCACTTTTGCAGTGGGTCCCTGAATTTTGCTTCTTTTCTACTGCTTGCCTGCAGAACAGCCCCTGCAGATGGTGCAGTACTAATTGCCTCCCAAGTTCTTTCTGAAATGTCCACCCGTCTGAGCTGAAAACACACATTCACAGGGACACAGAAAAGTTCATCTCTGTCACTGCCGCTGCTACGCATCACCTACACTGCTTTGTCCCTTTTGGTTTTGTTGGTTTGTTTTTCTCTTAAACCAGGTGCAGTACGTAGACACGTGGTTTACGTGGGTTCTTTCCGATGTGGGGGGGACCACTGAACTGAGACGGACTTACAAGCAAGCAAATACACCTCACCTTCTCACATTCATTCAACGACAGAATACGTGAGGGATGAGAACGCTGACTGAATAGAGAAGCTTGTCCATGCCGCAGTCCTATGCGAGGTGGGAATTTGATTACAGCTATTGACATCTGGTGTCCAAATCTCATGATATGATGTTATAACGTTCACCATTCTGTGAAGGATGTGCTGCCACACCGACTGCTCATTACAGTGCATACTTTGACCAGATGTATTGCAGAGGTTACAGCATCGCTGCAAATTTAGAAAGCTGTGAAGACTTCCTGAGGAGTAGTTAACTTTACCTTTTCATGTAGTAACATATAGCAGGAACTGCAAAAACAAATGCCTCCTATGCATAGTATATGTCCTGCACTGATGTCTAAAGTGAGAAGTTATGTGACCCTGTTCATATCGTCCCATTTTTGAAGCATCCCTTTGTTGATATTAACGTACTAAAACAAGTTCCAGCGAAGAAGGAGGATCAGTAAAGAAGGAAAAGGTGTCTCAACCCAAAATGTCTGATGGGATTTTGCACTCATCATAAAGACAGCCATTTTAAAGAAGTCATACATACTATACATTAAAATTCAATGAAGAGATTAGCTAGGAACTTCTTATGCCACAGTATTCTTTGTCACAGTTTCTCTTGTAAAAGAGCATAGTTACACAGTTCATTATTTAGATGTCAGCATTTTTTGGTCTTTGAGCACTCTTGGAAATTTGCACAATCCTGATGACCAAAAGTCTTCACCCCTGCCACATACAGTTGTGCAATCTTTTCACATATTAGACTGTATGGTTTGGAACTATACATGGATTTGAACTTCAGTCTAAAAAGCATAACCCTGCTTATGGATACTCTTTAGCAGTAGTTGAGAACAGTATTTCCAAATGTTTACCTTAGCCACGTAGGCTTCAACCCTGTTTCTTGATGCCAGTGCATTCCCGGTTGAGCTTAGGAAGCTTCCTCCTAGACTGAGACTTCTGTTCAGCGCCAAATTGTTGCCAAGATGTCCCAGTTCAGCTGAATACAGAACTGGACTTGCAGCCAGACCTCCACTGACAATGCTGCTTGCGATTAAGGATTTGCTTCTGTGGCGCTCCTGAAGGAGCTTAGCGTGTGCTTCTGCTAGTCTCTCATTAGCTCTGAAACATTCAGAAGCAGACAAAGAATTATCTTCAGTAGTAACACTGTCACAAAGTGAATCTCCAGGTCTTTGACTATTATTCAACTTCTGAAAGTGGAAGGGATGATGAGCATCCAAAAGAAGAACATCGCTTGACCTGAGGTTTTTTGGAGAGCCTGTTTCTAAGAAGTCACAGTACCTGCAAGGAGCAGCAAGAGTTACCCACACTTAGGACTTCTCAGCGTTAGGGCTTCAAAGCAAGTTGTGGATGCAATGTGTTTACACAACTTCTTCTGAAGGGTACGTCACCTGGGTAAGAACTCTGGGCTACCCTCCCTTTCCCACAGAAAGCTCAAACCTCAGACACACTGCTAAAATGGAAGAGATTTTTTTTGTGTGTGTCACAGAACCAAATTCTGTTCCCTGCAGGGCCTATCCTTACTCCAGCAGAACAGGATGTGAAATTTATCTTTTCTGCCATAGACAGAGTAAGAGGAGGAGATTACTAGAGATGGGCAAAAAGGCTGTCTGTTAAAATGCCATCAACTTAACAATACCCTGCTAATGCCATGATCAGTGGTGTTACTGCTGGAACACTAAAGAGAAACGAAGACAGTTCTAATGAAGCAGAAGGGTCTTAAGGTACTTTCCTCACAAATATGCCGTTTTAAGCTTACATACATCCTGCTGACCAGATGTAGAAGAGGGATTTTAGGAGGAAAATGCATGAGTAAAATGTAAAATGCAAAAAAGCATGGACTTACCTTTCCAGTTTATTTGCTAGGCATCTCCTAATTTTTACTTCCTCCAAGTACAGCTCTCTGTACTTTTCCACTTCTGCCTGATTTGATTCTCTTTGAAAAATACTGTCTTGTTGTGTATTTTTTATCCTGTCCAATTCACATTCGAGGTCTCTAATTCTGTGTTTCAGCTGGTTTCTCAGTGATGCATGATGACTGGCTCTGATTTGCTCTAATCTGTCCTGGGAGGCTGCCTGCGTCTGAAGCAGATAATGCACTTCCAGTCACCGCAAAGAAAAAGAGAACTCTCCCGGCCAGTCAACGGCACGTACCAAATTTCAAGGACCTGCCTTTACTCAGTGAGGCAACTGTGCCTCCTCACCGCCATCAGCAATGAAAAATAAAATACTAAAAAATGACAAAGTGTGCAATGGAGACTACAAACACAAGCAAGAAATGCACTTACCTGCAAAAATAGATTGACTTCTTGTAGTTTTTGTCTTATTTCTTGGCCAGCTCGTTCTTCCATCTCTCTTTTATATTGTTCTATTTGGCTGCGATCCACCATGTTAGTCTCCAAACGATGTTTGAGGTTAGCCACCTCTTCTTTCAGCTGGCATTTGCTCTTCTCCAGTTTTTCCTGGTTCCCATGCATGGTGGACAACTGTTCTCGCAAGTCCTGATTTTGTGCTTCTACCTCCATGCATTTTTTAGACTCTGTTTCCAGTTGCTGGGAAAGTTCACCAACCTGTAGACAGCAAAAAACCCCAAAGAGGAACTCAGAGGGATTTAATATTACTCAATTCTGTGAAAATCTGTAAAGGGGCTGGCCATTGACACTGGGCCATGGAGACTGTATTTGTTGTCTGCTGACTCAGAATTAAAACCAATAGATCCCAATGGTCAACCTCAGCTCCATCTTCCTCTTCCCCACTCCAGAAACATAGTTTTTCTATACTTACTGAACATAAAACATGATGTCCTGTCTTTTATTTAAAAAAAAAAACCAAAACAGTGGAGGAAACTAGCATAGTAAACACTTGAAAAGAGTCTCTAACAGAAAGTAGAAACTTTATTCTTATTTAAAACTGCCTAAATGAAATGCACTTCCCTGACATTCAAAATAACTCTTCCAACACAAACACAAAAACGCTACTAACTTTTGGACTGAAAAAGACACCGCAAAGGCAGTTGACCCATTCTGCAATACCTTTTAAAAACAATCGTAGCTCTGAAACGTGGCTG